ACAGTGTCTACCTGCACATGTCTGGAAGGCAGCTTGGGTCACCAGGTCTGGGAGTGCAAGCCCTAGGTGTTGAGGTGGTTAAATCTCACAAGCTGGTGTTTCACTAAGGATGTGGGAGTTATGGACAAAATCTACTTTTATTGATTCTTTTCTCCCTCTGGACTGTGCAATTTTTGTGTTGTGTGTGTGTGCAAGCTCATTGCTCCTGGTTATCATCAACTCATGCAGGAGCTTGCAGACCTGTCATCATCAGCAACAGTTTCTTCATTGCCATTAAAGTTGTGCTGAACAAAAGATACATTGCTTGATAACGCTCAGAGTCTTTATTTTGCTGCATGACATAGTATTGATCAAGTCCAGGGTCGGCCACAGTCACATCGACTTTTTTCAATGTTCCTGATAATTTACTGCAGAATTCAAATTGAAGACAGAGCATTTGGCTGCAATTACAATCTGTCACTTAATATTTTTCTTTTCCAATATTGAATAGACTCAGTATATCTCCTGTTGTGTCTAAAGACATTCTAAATCAAGGACAGAATCCAGAGTATTTTTCATAGAACTATTCTTAGTGGTGAATTCTGGATTTCAAGGGATACTCACATAGAACAATTTCCCACATACCCCTCAAGTAAATTTCGTCATTAGATTTCTTTTCTTTGTCTTTCCTCCCTCCCTCCCTTCCTCCCACTCTTCCTTACTTCCTTCTCACTGGAATTCCTAAATGGCTACATGAAATTTAAATAGCTTATCATATAAATTTTACTTATTTCCTGAAGAGCACCTCATTTTATATGCAGTGTATAACTACTGAAGTCATTCATTTGAGGATAGGATCTGGTAAGAGGTGAAGGTGTAAAGAGTAAATCCTATCATGGGGTGTTACAATAAAGGCTGATTAACTTCACACCACTCCCTCAGGTATAACAATTCACTTTTACGTTCTCCTACAGCAATGAACATACTCTTAGCCTTTCTAATTCTGATCTAGAGGGTTGTAGGGGTGGTAAAGAGAGTAAACAAGGAGCAATTTCAAGGAGGCCCAGTTTGTATCTATCTCCTTCACGGAAATGGACATGATGGCATTTTTGTGTATGGGGCAGAAGCAAGGGAGGTGGAGTGTCACAGAGGCATGGATAGTATGGCTAGATATTTCTGGGCCATTGGAGTCACCAAGATCACTGGGGCTGATTCAGGTCCTAACTAGCCAGAACAGTGTCCTAGGGCCTGGAAGTTTCCCTGGAGTACAGATCTCATCTCTAGCATATGCTTTAAGGAGATCCCATCTAAGCAAAAATCATCTATGGATCACTCAATTTTTATGGCCTGCAGCACCTGGGAAGGTGTGCTGTTACTTAAGAACCTGTCTTACTGATCAGGTTAACAACACATTTCAAGTCCAGAGCATGTTACAAAACATTTGTTTGTTTTCTGGAGGGGTTCATGTCAGGTCAAGTTGAGTCAACCTTAGAAAGGTGTCTGGAAATCTTTTTCTCTTGTCACCCACTCTTCTCCAGCCCTTCCGGGGAAGCTGCTTCCATCCTGCAGGCGCCCACAACAGGCAAGTCCAGGTAGAATTGTGTCAGTAGATTTTTACAGCCCTTTCTGGGTGTCTTCTTAGGAGTTCAGACGATTTAGAGAAACACATTTACAAAACACATAAACCCTTCTGTTCTTGGTATTAATCATTTCTCATAAATACCTCTGATGCTTATGATCAAAGACCTGCTTCCTGTAAGTGGCAAGAGCGAAGAGGAACAAGGCAGGAAATGGGAAGGGGAACCCTCATCTTGCCACATGCCACAGAGGTCCATAGGCCAAGACCTTGGGCAGCCCTGGGGCAATATCTAGTTGTTTTGAGACCCACGGAAAGGAGACTAGGAAGATAAAACATGCATGAAGTCTAACTCTGAGTTGGGGATGAGGCATGCTGTACGTGGGAGTGTATATGGGGTCCACACTGTGGGCAGTGGTATGTGATTGTAGTGACACAGCTCCCTCCACCTACCCATTTGTGCATCTTTGAGTTGCTGGAAGCAGCTATGCTCATCTATAATGAGTATCCTTTCTGCTTTTAAAAATGCTTGGATTTTCTTTCTATGAATTTCCACTAACGTGCATCTTTAGGAAGAGAAAGATTCTGCTTTATTCATATGGAGTCATTTATACAATATCAACTGAAGTCCAGAGCCTCGTGAGGTACATAAACATGACCAGAGGCTGAAAAGCATTGGGAGCATCTACTAAATGTAACGTTATTTTTCGTGGCAGCAATATTATTTTAAGTACAAATTATATGGAGAATGAATATAAGAATTTATTTATTAATTTATTCTTATAAATCCATGTAAGCTGCTCAGATAAATGGATAATCTAAATAGTTATGGTTAGAAAGGCTGACATGGGTTTGAGCTTCGCAACATAAAACCTTCATCCCTTGCCCTTTTCCCCCAGCATTCTGCAGACAAACACTGGCTCATTTGAAGTTCTGACCTTCAAGATTTCAAAAGTAGGAGCTGAGATGCAGAAAGCATATGTCTCTTGAAATGTGTTTTTTTTTTAGTTTGACGCTCAAAAAAAAAATATGGTGATTAACTTGATGGTCATGCACATAAAAGTATATTTTCCCCAGCAGGATGCAGTCAGTGGCTCACGCCTGTAATCCCTGCACTTTGGGAGGCTGAGGTGGGTGGATCACCTGAGATCAGGAGTTCCAGACCAGCCTGGCCAACAAGGTGAAACCTCATCTCTACTAAAAGTACAAAAAATAGCCGGGTATGGTGATATGCACCTGTAATCCCTGCTACTCAGGAGGCTGAGGTGGGAAAATTGCCTGAACCCAAGAAGTCGAGGCTGCAGTGAGCTGAGATCACACCACTGCCCTCCAGCCTGGGTGACAGAGTGAGACTCTGCCTCAAAAAAAAAAAAAAGTAAGAATACTTTTCCCTGTGAGGCAGTACAATCATGAGGGTTGGGAGTGCAGGCTCTGGAGCCAAACTTTCTGGGTTTACATCCCTCTCCTGCCACTTGCCAGTGCCAGCTGTTGTGTGGTCTTCAGCAGGTCACTTAACCGCTCCATGCTTGAATTTTCATCCTTTGACAGCTTGGATATCTGGATGGCAATGTGCCAAATCATATGCCTTTCCTACCAAACGACTTGTTAATTAAGAGTGCTTAACATGTGCAAAATACTTAAGCAATGCTTTCTTAATTAGTCAGCATTCTCCTTTGCAAACTGGCGCTAACCACTCTGCCTTGCAGCAATAAGATTTCAGCATTCTCCCTTGCAAACTGGCACTAACTACTCTGCCTCGCAGCAATAAGATTTCCTGGAAAGCCAGTGGAAGGCTACAGAGTGGAAAGAAAGCAGAAGTGCCCAGTCTGGGCTGGGAGTTGATGATGCTGTGGCAGCAGGCATCAGAAGGCACGCCTAGGTCACTATTGGGACTGTTCTGGTGCTCAGAGTGTCCGTGCAACTGGGATGCATCTGACTTCCAAACATTCCTCCTGTTCTGACAGCTCCCAAGATTCAGAGTCCTGGAGGCAAGGATATTTGGCTAAGTTTCAGGCATAGCTCTTCCTGCCTTCCTCTCTACACTGTATCAGGAGTGGGTAAAAGATATATCTGATCCCCCTGGTTTCCATAACAGGAGGTGGCAAGGGAAAGTAGGCACTGGGATCTGTCTTCTTGCCAAGATTACATAAAATGGAGAATTCCATCCGTAGGAACATGTGGTGCTTAGAGTGGAGGTGTGTGGATTCTGGGCAGTCAAAAAAAAAAAAAATCACAAATCTTTGCTAAATTTGTATAAGGCTTCAAATTTCTCTCAATAGTCCCATGAGCAGTGTTGTGCTGGTTAATCTAACAACTGCCTCCCTGGTCCTGATTTGTAGCATTTGTCCATTTTCTCAGGGAGAACCCACTCATCATGGCTAATTTCAAGCTACCAACATGACAGCACTTAACACAGCTGGGAAGAGATATGCAGTAACATACCACTATGCAGCATCTTCACCACACAGCTACAACGGATGTAAATAACCTCAAGTGCACAGACAATAGTGAAATGTAGTACTGAGGTTGGCGCAAACACAATCACACTTTTTGCTTTTAATGGCAATTTAAAAGGTATTAATTATTTTTGTTGTTAACAGAAATATAGTTTCTATAATTTAATTTTTAATAATAGCTGGAATTTAACAATTAGTTTACAAAACTTAACAATCAGCTCCTGTGAGTCATTATGAGCCAGCTCCAGCATACCATTGCCTATGAAGTGGATCAATATAATGTTATTGAGAGAGACAAAGAGAAAATGAAAGAAAGATTATTTATGCTTATGCAGGAAGATGTTTGCATGGAGAGGCCCAGGCCCTGGAAATTTCGTACAGTAGCTTGTAACACTGGGGACCCTTGGTAATAAAGTAACAACAGCATCTGACATTTATATAGCAAAACATGTTTTTATTTAACATTTACTCATTTTTTGAGCCTCATAACAAATTCAAGGGAAAGAGAAGCAAGGCATGTTACAGATGAGGGGACTGAGAGTCACCGAGCAAAAGTGACCCCTGACAGGTGGAGCTGACACTAGAATCAGGTCCAGGAGACTTCCAGTTCAGACTGTTTTCATACCACCCTGTCTCTTTGAACCCCTGTCATCCCTGGAGCAACCACTTATTACAATCTGGGGAGCTGTAAGGCCTCATCCCCAGAATTCAGTCCAGGAGGCAGTTCCGTATCTTCATAAATAATAAAATTAAGTTGGGCCCACAAATGGGCAATGGTAACTGGCTGTATTAGCAGCTGTCACAGCCGACTCCAAGATGGGCCCCAGTGATCATTACTCCTTGGCGTTCATGTCCTTGCACTCCTACACTGAATAGGGCTGGCCTGTGTGACCAGTAGGATAATGCAGAAGTGATGGCATGTGACTTCTGAAGCTAGTGTTAAAGAGCACTGCAGCCTCTGCTTTGTTTTCCTTTATCACTTGTTCTGGGGGAAGCTGGCAGCTGTGTTGGAAACACCCATGGAAGGGAACTGAGGTCTCCCACCAACAACCAGCCCTACCTGGCAGCCAGTGAGTGAGCCACTCTGCAAGTGGATCTTCCACCTCCAGACAAGCCTTCAGCTGAGGACAGACCTGGCTGACACCTGAACGGAGCCGCATATGGGTCACCCAGCCAGTGCTCCCGCATTTCAGACCAACAGAAACTGTGAGAGATGATCAACGTTTATGTTGTTTGAAGCCACTAAATTTGGGGGTAATTTGTTAAGCAGTAATAGACACATTGAATTGCTTTCAAAGCTGCACGATATGGGTTTTGGGTCACGTCAACCAGAGAGAGAAAGGCATGAGGGACTCAAGAAACACTTTGAGTAAATTTGTTTTCCTTTTTTTCACCAACAAAATTGAATTTGAGGCCAATATTTGAAAGCTTTGTACTATATAACTGCTGAAATACATTTTATTCTTAATGCGTTTCCAAATGACCTGTTGTCCATAGAAAAGTACACTCAACACTGAATGCTTCTACTACTCTGAAGAGCAAGACAGCTCGAAGTGGAATTCACTCAGGCATCTCATAGCACGAAATCATCTCATAGCCTTTCAGACCCTATCTTCACGGTCACCTTTCAATCGTTTGAGTCCCTGGGCCACGGCATCCCCTGACGTTTCGGAAAGCAGGAACGGAGGGATACAACGAAATAAATTATTTGGGAAGGGACTGGGCTAGGGACCCTACTGGATGTTGGTGGCGAAACTTTTAAATCATTTACAAAACACCAGTCCCGATCTCCTCTGGGAGACTGAGCTGTTGTTACCTCTTCTCCCGGCGTCCCTGCCCGCGGAAGTTCGCTCCTAGGGAAGTCGCTCGCGTCCTCAACAGCACGGGAGAGGATCTCGGCGAAGCGGAAGGCTCTGGTGCCAGCTGGGAGAGTCGGCGCCGGATTTCCTCGGCTCCCTGGCGCGTTTCCTCGGAGGCGGGGGAGGCCGAACACGGACCCCGGAGTCGGCGCCCAAAGCGGGGCGCCCTCGCTCGGGGCGGGAGTGCTGGGAGGTGGGTGTGCGGGCGGCGCGCTCGCCCTCCAGCTGCAGCCCGCGCGGAGCGCGCACTGCCTGCGAGCGCCGGCGTCTCCAGCATGGAGTGGGAACTCAACTTGCTGCTCTACCTGGCGCTCTTCTTCTTCCTGCTCTTCTTACTTTTCCTCCTGCTCTTCGTGGTCATCAAGCAGCTGAAGAACTCCGTGGCCAACACGGCCGGGGCGCTACAGCCCGGGCGCCTCTCGGTGCACCGCGAGCCTTGGGGTTTCTCTCGAGAGCAAGCGGTGTGACCCGAGTGCGGGCACAGGCGGGAGGGCACCGAGCTGCGCGGGCGCTGGGCTGGGTCTCCGCCTGGATTCTCAGTCCTTGCGGCCTCCCAGCTTCCAGGTGCGGGTCTCGGCGGCTGTGACGGGTCCGTTCCGGCGTGAGGCGCGGGGACCCGCGTCTCCACTCCTGTGGAAGGCCCGGGGCTGCCAGCGCGTTCGGGTGGCAGGGGCGGTGGATGTATGTATTTCTGGGCTGAGCTCTTCGGAAGGGACCCCAAGCTGTTCCAGGGCTGGGAGAAATGGCGAAAAGAGGATTCACCCTTTGGAGCCGGAATGAGTTTGGACATCTGCAAGCTCTTCTCAGTCCAACTGCATTTTAGTTATACCCAAGGAGTGGAAAACTAAATTATTCAGACAATTCAGTTCAGCCACTTTCGAACAAAATTGAAGGTTAACCTGAATATCCACATTTTTGAGAAAGAGTGTGTGGGATTTGGGGCGGCTGGCATGAGGAAACAGGGCGCACTTGAAGTATTTTAAATATTACTTTACATATTGTTGCTCTTTGGGAGATGGTAAATGGAGTTCATCTGGTGGTGCTGGGGTTGGGGGCGGGGGAGAGAAGGTTCAGTGGTCCATTTGGAGGGAGGAATCCCTTCCTCCTGGTGATCCTTACTCATATTCTAGCCACCAACCACAGGTAGTGCCTGCGGATTGCTGTGCAGGGTGGGTTTTGAATCTGGGACAGCGGAGGATGAACGCTACAGTGAGAGTTATTTGGCAGATGCCTTAGGGTTAGCTGGTATGTGAAATTTTGGGTGATGGCATGGAGGGCCGGCTAAGAGAGGTACTGTTTGCATAGTGTAGGGAAACAGGGAAAAGGACGAGGAAGCGGGTCTTTGGTTTCAGGTTAAATTACTAGAGCTTTTGTAAAAGATGGGCAGACAGGAGCAAACTCGAGTACCAGTATGCCCTAAGTACCCTCTCGGTAATGTTAGTTTGGGAAATAACTTCGTCCTTCAGAAGCTTTCCCCTAGATTTATGTTGTCTCTCTTTCTAGAGCCTAGAGCCTAGAGCCTCTGCCCTTGACTGGTGCATAAAGAACCACAGCTGCAATGACAGTTTGGGCCTGCGAAGAGAAGGATGGAACGACAGGAGAGGGAAGCTTTCTGCAAATGGTAAGTTGGGAATGACACATGGTTTCACGTTGTCCTTAGTTATGACTAAACTTCTAAAGATCCTGGGCCTAAAAAAGTGTAGGTTCAGGATGGGGGAAATGGGTACAAGGAATGAAAGGACTCTCTCCCACTCAAAACTGGTGAGCTTCTACCAGAACCACAAAGCCAAACTGACTCCTAACTCATTGCAAGAATCAGTCTCAGTAGAGGATTGTGGAAATTTAAATGAGATGTCAAGAGTGCTTGCAATTTTAATAATCATTCTGCTCTTTTGAAAGACAGTGCAAGGATTCTTGGAGTGAAATATGTGATGCAGATATACATGGTCTTCAGTAAGGGAAGATTTGGGTTTAGTCATGTTAGTGTGGGATAAGCTAAGTCATAACTGTAGTATTGAAAATACTAATTTTAGGCACAAAGAAAGACCATGGAGAGAGACTAAAAACCATGAAATAGTAAAGTTTCCCTAAGTTGGTAATATAAAAGTGAAGTGTAAGACAATTATTTTAATGCTTCAGAGGAAAAACAGTCTCAGGTGAATAATTTTGGCCCAAGACATCAATAATTTCCCACATTTTCTATTTCACTTTCCCCAAATAGACCTATTCTTAATGAAATAAGTGGTTTACTTTAATTATTATGGTATGAACAAACTCTCACCTCTTTTTCAGAGTTATGGTAAGACTTGATTTGAATTCCCAGTTTGAATTTCCCCGAATCAACTGCAGTGATTCTGTATTGTGCTTTGAACAGTAGTTCTCTAATTGGTTGGTATCTCTGCAGGGCATTTAGTTAAAGGGTTGTATGGTTAATATGGGCATTGAAAATGAATGTGAGAGTAATTAATTAGCAATTATAGTTGCTTGTAAGGATTGAAAACAATCATTTCACACTTTAGAATAACCAGAATGCAAATTATTTTAACCACATGCTTGGCTTCTTGAGTTTGCAATCCTTTAATCTTCCTAGCAGCATCACTGGTATCCAGAAGTTCAACCTGCCCATGATTCTTCCTAGACAGGAGACTATCGAGAAGTCAGGGTGAATAGTTTGCTGCCATCTCAGTATTAATCCAGTCTCTCAGCTGGTTCTACTGACTTAGGTTCCTAAGAAAGGAGAGGTGCCTTTCTAACTTGTGTCCAATGCCATTTTATAACCTCCTTGTAATCAAATTCGTTAATGAATAAAAGTTAAAATAAAAGATAAAAGTTAAATAAAAGATAAAAGTTAAAATAAAAGATAAAAGTTCCCATTTATCTAGCCCACAATGAATATTTATTTCTATTACTCAACCTCTGCTTGGAACTTGACTCTAAGCTCTGGGAATTAAGGTAACTCACATTTGCTGTTAGATCTTGCTGCTGTTGATCTCCTGTCCTGCCCTTGCTTTGTTGGAGACTCTGCTTTTGAATCTTTGACACCTGTAGATGAGCCATCTTTTGCTGTTTATTTATTCAGTCATCATTTCCCCAAGATCTGACATAGACCAATCTCCCAAATTAGAACTACTTTCAAACTCACATTTTTTGCTACTTTTATGCCTTCTTGGTTTAGATTGAATACTCTGACACCCACAATATTCTAGGTTCCAGGCTTCTACATGTTGGCTACTCCATCCCCTGACTACCCCCTGTTCTGACAATCGCTATGTGCCATGTCTGTTTTTAAAGACTGTATAACTGTGAGCTAGACATTAAAGCACTTGAAAAGTCAAGAACATTTAAAATAACTGCTTATTATATAAGTGTAACTTGATTATAAAAGATTCCTATGTTTTATTTTCAATAAAAAAGTTTTTAGTGATTCTACAGCAATGTTAGAAGCTGACCTGAATCTCTAACATTATAAGGAAATGAGCCATAATTCTATTATGCAATAATCGTATTCTACTTCAAATGTTATTATTTCATCATTGTTTCTAAATTTCAGCTGCTCAAAATGACTTCAGATCTTATCAGGACAATCTTGGTTGTTGCACTAATTCCCAAACTTATAAGTGCAATGGATCTACAGTTCTACTTGGCAAGACAACCATTTTAAGTTGAATGAGATGACATCACACTCACACCTGCAAAATCTAAAATGTCTAATAAAGTAGATTCCTATGTCTGAACTTCAATTTTAGGGCACAGCTGTAGATGCAGAACTGATGCCATCTGGTGTGATTCTACAGAATAAGAGAGAAAATTTACCCAGAGTGTGCCATGCACTGGCTTTTCTGGGAATGGCAAGGTGCCAGGATTTGTTTTTGGTTCACTTGCAGGGGTGGAAGCTTGGAACTAGGTGAGTACAAAATATGAAATACTCTATTTTTAGTTTGACATTCCATATTTCCAATTAGTCTATAGTTTCAAAATTAGTGCAATAGAGTTAAATTTTAAATAGCCAAAATGTTAAAGATTGTAAATGGTTAAACCATTTAGAATAGTGGGAAATATTTGTTTTTTTTTTTTTTTTTGTAAGTCACACTTACTAATCTAGAGACTTTTAGAATACTGAAGATGTTAATGTAATACATAAGGTATCTACACAGTGCTGTAGTTTGCTTTTTAATTTTGACAGCTACTCTGAGGTATTTGTGCATATTTAAGCTAAATCCACAATTAAAACTTTAGGATCATTAGAATGTCACTGTCAGGTGTCTGTGTCACATACAATGGAAGGTTAAGAACTGAGTTGTAAATCTTTGATGTAGTTCTTTTCTTGTTTGAATCAGTGAAATAAATTTCTCAGTCTTCCATTTTTAAGTTTGTCTACACAAAATAAATAATGTTATGGATTAATAATGATCTGATTAAGTGTCTGAGTCACAAGCATCTTCCCATATAGGAAGCTGGATGATCAGAAGGGCATTTAAATCCAGTAATCAGAACCTAATAGCCATGCAGAAAAGCTTTCTGATGGATTAAGTTTAAAAAAACTACCTTATTTTCCTTAATAGTAGCCACTTTATATAGGTCTGTATAGACATACTGAAGACATGGGTGGGTTCTAGCTAAAGCCTTTATATGTGTCTCTTGTTTTATTAGTATGACTCTGAAGTTACTTGAATTTATTGAATAGGTACAGATTCTTCAAGCAAGATGTCTTTTCCTTTCAGATGAAAAATCACACTTTCCTATTGGGAATCAAGATGAATTGTTATCTTGACAATCGAATAGGAAGTTTTGGACTGAACAGTGGCTTAAACAAATCAGAGGCTTTGTCCTTTTCTCACAGAACAAGGAGGTTAGAGTCAGGCAGCTGATGGTGTTGGTTCAGCAGCTCACGGGTGGCAGGCTTAATTAAGGTGGCTGCTGAGGTTTCCTTGGCTTTTTCCTCCAGGTTCCAAGATGGTCCCTGCAGCTCCCCACAAGAAGGAGGGAGCCCACAGAGAAAGCAAGCCATGCCAGTTCAAATCCACTTCCTTTTAAAGAGCCTCCTCAGCACCCCAATAACTTCTGCCTTCATCTCATTGGCCAGGACTGTGTCATTGGCTACTGCTATCTGCAAGATTGTCTGAGAAATGTAGGTTTTGTTGCTGGAGCTATAACTGCCTTTCACAAAATCCAGTTTCTCTTGATAAGGAAGAAGATGGTGGTGAATCTTGGGAAGACAACTAACAGTTTATGCCCTGGTTACAAAATAAAATTGCAGAAGAGCATAAAGTTCAAAAATATCAAAATGTAGTTCCTTCACAACTGGCAAAGCTCCAAGCATCACTGCTTCCCTCTGAGAGAGTGAGCAGAGCGAAGGCATATCCGGTTTTCTCACAAAGCACTTGACGGGACTGACCTTCTCTTTCAATCAATATCCTTGTCACACATCAGGATTTTCTAGAGGGCTCTGGGTACCTGCATACTTCCTTGGTGACCATAACCTCTTAATGGAGGGTTGTATAAGATAAATAGTGTACTACTGTGCTGCTCCCTCATCTGCATCATTTCTCTCCTCCCTAATTTTCCTGTCAGTTATATTTTGGTGGAGTCTGGGTTTGTGTATTTGATGCCTATAAAAAGACCATCACTTTCATGCATGGAGGAGGGGAATCCTTGCAAAGAAAGTCTACCTTACTCCCTTCTGTGACTCCACCACCAATCTAGGAATATCCTGGGAGAAGAATTGCCTCTCAAAACTGCTTCCATAGCAGCCTACATCCTAGTTAAGCAAAGAAGAAACACTTCCCACATCTAGGGCTGTCTAAAAGAACTTTCTGTGATGACAGAAATGTTCTATATCTGCAGTGTCCAATATGGTAACCACTAGCCACGTGTGGTGAGTGAACACTTGAAATGCGGCTATTGTGACTGAGGAAGTAAAATTGAAATTTTGTTTAATTGTAATTAATTTAAATTCAAATAGCCAAATGGGGCTACTGACTATGATATTAGATAGCACAGTACACTTTATTCTCTTTCTTGTGTTGTAGAACCAGCAGGGAGATGCGTGGGCCAGTCATGGGCTTGATGTCCCACGGTCTTCACTATTCTACCTTGCCATTGAACTTGTCTCCCAGAGGAAAAGAAAGAATGGTATTTGGAATTGAATTCAAGATGTTAACTTGACATCTATATATTGCACATATTCCTGTATAGTGAATGGAATGGTCTCCTGGGAATAGGTTCTGTGATTGATTTTAGTGATAACTGGTCATGAAGAAATGGCCATACTGCTCCACTTCACCTTCCTAGTGACTATTACATATTCCTAGTCAGAGTGACTCAGCAGAGATTATTTTGTTCTCTTGTGCAATTTATTCTGTGTAATTTTATTTTTGTAATATTGTGGCAGCTAAATGATTATTCTGTGTATGTTTTTCAAAATATTAGGTGGCTTATATTTTTAAAAATGCTATGAAATAAAAATAAACTATATGTTAACACAGTTTTTAATGTGGCTTTTTATTGGTGAGTTATTATTACCAAACTTTGTTAACGGTTAATTAGAATGAGATTCATAGACAGAGATATTTATTTTGCTGGGCGCTGTGGCTCACGCCTGTAATCTCAGCTCTTTGGGAGCCTGAGGCAGGTGGATCACGAGGTCAAGAGATCAAGACCATTCTGTCCAACATGGTGAAACCCTGTCTCTACTAAAAATACAAAAAATTAGCTGGGCATGAAGGCGTACACCTGTAATTCTAGTTACTTGGGAGGCAGAAGAATCGCTTGAACTCGGGAGGCGGAGGTTGTTGTGAGCTGAGATCGGGTCACTGCACTCCAGCCTGGGTGACAGAGCGAGACTCAAAAAAAAAAAAAAAAAAAAAAAAAAGAAATAATTATTTTTATGTTAAATTTACTTTTTAATGGGCAAATCTATATGCCAATTAATGCTATCTTCTTGAAATATTAAATGATTCTTTCATGTATTCAGAGTTTGGATAAAGCATGAGGGTCATATAGCATTACTGGATTAATTCTTTTCTCAGGTATCTGGTTGTTTCATCACACTGAGCATCACTTGGACCTTATTTCTCTACATGTGTCCTGTTTTGGGTTGTTTGTCTTTTCTTTCGTTACTGTGTTATAGGATATCTTCTGGACATGAGTCCTTTATCAAATATACATGCTTTGTGAATATTTTCTCCTACTTTGTGGCTAGCCTATTCATTTTCTTAACAATGTCTTCAAAATATGTATTTTTAATTTTAAAGTTTATTTATTTATTTATTTTGAGACAGAGTCTGGCATTGTTGCCCGAGTTGCAGTATAATGGTATAATGGTGCAATCTCAGCTCACTGCAACTTCTGCCTCCGAAGTTCAAGCGATTCTCTTGCCTCAGCCTCCTGAGTACTGGGATTACAAGTGCCTGCCACCACACCCAGCTAATTTTTTTGTATTTTTAATAGAGATAGGGTTTCACTATGTTGGCCAGCCTGGTCTCGAACTCCTGACCTCGTGATCTGCCCACCTTGGCTTCCCAAAGTGCTGTGATTACAGGTTTGAGCCACTGCACCTGGCCTTAAAGTTTAATTTATCCACTTTTTTCTTTGATGTTGATTGCTTTCTGTGTCCTAAGAGACTTTTGCCTATACTGTGTCACCAAAAAAATTCTCCTGTGTTTTCTTCTAAACTAGAAACTTTATAGTTTTAACTTTTACTAGGTCTACTATCGATAATAAATTAAGTTTTGGCCTGGCCCTATGGCTCACACCTATAATCCCAGCATTTTCGGAGGCTGAGGAGAGTGGAATATCTGAGATCAGAAGTTCAAGACCAGCCTGACCAACATGGCGAAACCCTGTTTCTACTAAAAATACAAAAATTTGCCAGGTATGGTGGTGAGTGCCTGTAATCCCAGCTACCTGGGAGGCTGAGGTGGGAGAATCACTTGAACCCAAGAAGTCGAGGCTGCAGTGAGCCGAGATCCTATCACTGCACTCCAACCTGGGCGACAGAGTGAGACTCTGACTAAAAAAAATTGGTTTTTGTGTATTGTATAAGGTGAAGATTGAGGTTCGTTTTTCCTCCATATAGAAGTAATGTTTCTGTTTTTGTTTGTTTTTATTTGTTGAAAAGACTTTCCCCATTGGATTACTTTGGCCTCTTCGTCAAAATCAAATAACCATGTAAGTGTGGATCTCTTTCTGGTTTCTCTGTTCTGTTCCATAGGGCCAACCTTACATCATTCCCACAGTCTCTTGATTACTGTTAAGTTTTATTGTAAGTCTTGGTATTCACCATAAAATATTATGAATTTGAACCTTTATAATAAACTCCTACTCTAAGGCTGAGTCTACACACACTAACAAGCTTGAGGAGTTTTGTTGAAAGTGGTTCAAATTTATTTTCAAAAACCGTGCTTTCTTTATCCCTGCTCCTAGCTCCATGGAAAATCAGAGTCTACATCTGGGGTAGCTCTTAATCAAGAGGAATGCCCCCAGGTTTCAACCTAGCATGACAAAACATATGCATGTTGTTTTTACTTTGTTTTTCTAAAAAATTTAACCATTATTCTCTATTAATCTAGTCAACAAATACTTATTGAGGTTCTACCTGGTGCCAGGCACAATTCTGGTTACTTAGGCCGTATTAGTGAACAACAACAAAACAACGATACCTTCCCTATCACAGAGCTTACTTACCTTCTGCACATATGGTTGTCTCTTTTTAACTGTTCTGTAGTATTTCATGTGTAAAAAAGCGTAATTTACTGAACCAATTATTTGTTAATGGACATTTAGTTGTTTTCAGGCTTTGCTACTACTGACAATAGTACATAATCTTTGATGTAAATCTTTGATCAATACGTGCATATATTTACAGGATAAACTTTTAGATGTGGACTATTTTGGCATGTACATTTTGTAAAAATTTGTTATTGAAGCTTGAAACGTAAAATAGAGGGAATATTGCTTCAAAATTTATTCTCATTATTTTAAAACTTTATTGATTTGTTTTTTAAATAGATTTCATAACTGAGGGGCAGTTTTCAGGTTATAGAATAATTGAGTTGAAAGTACAGAAAATTCTCACATATCAACCCCACACTCCCTGACCCCACACTTTGTTTCTTCTATTCCTATTAAAATCTTTTTTTTTTTTTTTTGAGACAAAATTTCAGTCTCTTGTTGCTCAGGCTGGAGAGCAATGGCCCAATCTTGGCTCACTGCAACCTCTGCCTCCCATGTTCAAGTGATTCTCCTGCCTCAGCCTCCTGAGTAGCTGGAATTACAAGCATGCACCACCATGCTCGGATAATTTTGTATTTTTAGTAGAAATTGGGTTTCACCATGTTGGTCAGGCTGGTCTCGAACTCCTGATCTCAGGTTGTCTGCCAGTCTCGGCCTCCCAAAGTGCTGGGATTACAGGCATGAGCCACGGCACCTGGCCTAAAATCTTTTAGTAGCATGTTACATTTGTTACAATTGATGACGCATATTAATACATTATTAACTAAAGTTTACAGAGTTTACATTAATGTCCCCTCTTGATGTATGTTCTATAGGTTTTAGCAAATGTACCATGACATGCATCTGCCATTACTGTATCACATAGAATTGTTTCACTGCCCTAAAAATCACCTGTGCTCTACATATTTGTCCCTCCCTGCCTCTGAGTCCCTGGCAACCAACCACTGATCTTTTTACTATCTCTATAGTTTTGCCTTTTCTAGAATGTCATAAAATTGGAATCATACAGTAAGGCAGCCATTCAGATTGGCTTCTCTCAATTAGCAATATGCATTTAAGTTTCCTCCATGTGTTTTTGTGGCTTGATAGCTCATTTCTTTTTATCACTAAGTTAGTCCATTGCACAGATGTGTATTAAAGGATATCTTGGTTGTTTTCAAGTTTTGGCAATTACAAATAAAGTTGCTATAAACTTTCTCATGCAGGTTTTTGTGTGGACATTTTCAACTCATTTGAATAAATACCAAGGAATAGGATTGCTGGATTGTGTGGTAAGACAATGCTTAGTTTGTAAGAAACTGCCAAACTGTCTTCAAAAATGTCTTACCATTGTGCATTTCCACTAGCAATGAATGAGTCCTAGTTGCTCTACATCCTCATCAGCATTTGATGTTATCAGTGTTTTGTATTTTAGCCATTCTAATACGTGTCTAGTGATTTCTTGTTTTAATTTTCATTTCTCTAATGATGTATGATGCTGAATATCTTTTCATATGTTTATTTGTCATCTGTGTATCTTTTTTGCTGAGGTGTCTCTTTAGACCTTTGCCCGTTGTACAATTGGGTTATTTTTTTTCTTATTGTGAGTTTTAAGAGTTCTTTGTATAACTTGGATAACAGTTCTTTGTCAGATAGGTATTTTGCAAATATTATCTCTGTCTGTCGTTTGTCTTTTTATTCTCTTAACAGTGCCTTTTGCAGAGAAGACATTTTTAATTTTAATGAAGTTTAACTTAACAATTTGTTCTCTTATGGATCATGCTTTTGATGTTATATCTAAAAGTCATCACTAAACCCAAGGTCACCTTGATTTGTTTCCTAAGGTATTTTCCAGGGTTGTATAGTTTTGCATTATACATTTAGGCCTGTTGCCTGTTTTAAATTAATTTTTGTGTAAAGTGTAAATCTTGTCCAGATTTGTTTCTTTGCATATAGATGTACAGTTATTCCAGCACCATTTGTTGAAAAGACTCACCGATTTTCTTTTCTTTTTCAAAATTTTACTTTAATTTCCAGGATACAAGTACAGAATGTATAGGTTTGTTACATAGGTATACATGTACCATGGTGGTTTGCTGCACCTATCAACCTGTCACCTAGGTTTTAAGACCCACATGCATTAGCTCTTTATCCTATGCTCTCCCTCCCCTCATCCTCCGCTCCCCGACTGGCTCCAGTGTATGTTGTTCCCCTCCCTCTGTTCATGTGTTCTCATTGTTCAACTCCCACTTACAAGTGATAATATGCGGTGTTTGGTTTTTGGTTGTTGTGTTAGTTTGCTGAGGATGATGGCTTCCAACTTCATCCATGCTCCCATGAAGGACATGATTTCATTCCTTTTTATGGTTGCATAGTATTCCATAGTGTTTATGTACCACGTTTTCTTTATCCAGTCTATCATTGATGGGCATTTGGAATGGTACCATGTCTGTGCTATTGTAAATAGTGCTGCAATAAACATATGCTTGCATATGTCTTTATAGTAGAATGATTTGTATTCCTTTGGGTATATACCCAGTAATGGGGTTATTGGGTCAAATGGTACTTCTGGTTCTAGATCCTTGAGGAATCACCACACTGTCTTCCACAATGGTTGAACTAATTTACCTTCCCGCCAACAGTGTAAAATATTCCTTTTTCTGCACAGCCTCACCAGCATCTATTGTTTCTTGACTTTTTAATTAACACCATTTTGACTGGCATGAGATGGTATCTCATCTCATTGTGGTTTTGTTTAGCATTTCTCTAATGATC